AATACGAAGATTAATTACTTTTGCATCTATACTCATAAATCAAAATGTAATTAACATTTGTAATAGAAAATCTTCTGTACAGATTTTCAACATGTAAATTTTAGCTTTTTTTAATAAATTATTTTTTGTAATTATGTTAACATTATGTAATGTGTTAACAGAAATATCTAAGCGTGCGAAATAATTTTATTTTAATTTTAAAAAAATTTGTTAATAAAATCATCGACATTATGTTCTGTCGCAGTAAAAATTCAATTCTTCGCGTAAAAATAATTAGAAATAATAAAAGAAAGGGTAAAAATTCCTAACGAATCGATAACTGGGTTCTATTGTTTCAATTTGCACATGTAAGACATGTAACAAAAAATTGTCGATAAATTTCAATAAGAGTAAAATATAAATTTCCATATATAAATAAATGGAAAATTTCCATATAATAGAGAAATGTAGATTAAATGAAAAAAAGGAAAATTCAATTTTCTCACCAATTGTCGAATTCATGTAGATTATAAGTAGATCAATTTAATTTTCCATAGAATGATTTATGCAATAAGTTATCCTCTTGAAAAAGAACCTTTTAAAAAATTAAATTTTATTAAAAATAAGGTAAAATGAAGTAAAATAATTAAAGCGTATAAAAAAAAGATATTTTCTCACCAATTGAAGCATTTATGTAGATTTAAAGTTGAACAATCAATTAATCTTTTTTTTTCCCAGTAATGATATAAGTTTTCCTTTTCTCCAAAAAAAAAGAGACCAGTCAATTCATAAAACACTGTCGTCAAATTGATCGAAATTCACTTCTCATCTTCACGTTTTCTAACGAAAACCGGTTTACGAATGATTCAACACGTGTTCGTTAGCCACTCTTTTCAATTTAAGCCGGCAAAGGGGGACTGTCACCGACACTTCCTTTTTCTAAAAAAGAAAAATAATCACTTAAATTGTCGATTTAAAAACACTTTTTTTTTTAAATTTTTCCCTCAATTTTAGAATTACACTAAAACGTGGGATTATATGAGAAACATATATAAATTGTCCTTCGAAGAACACTTTTATCACTTCCCAATTCCGGTTAAATTAATTACATACGCTGATAAACGTGGCTTGAAAGTTTTGTTGTTTTTTTTCAAATGAAAACAAATCCACTTTGCCTTTAAATCTCAATTAATTCCCGGAGTTGATTGAAAAAGTAGATAACTAATTTTTTTCTCTCTTCAAACAAGAGACACGCACCTAAACAATTGCATTTTCACGTCTTTCAAAATAAACACAGATATCCAATTTTTCTTCTTAATTAAAAGACAATGTTAATCAAAAATTTAAAAAAGAAAAAAAAAACAATTATAAATAAGATGACAACACTGTACTGTTTCACAAATAGACGTTGCTTCCAACACACGAGTCAAGGTTAGGTTAGGTCAGTGACAAAAACATATCAAGTTGTTTGGAAACGCACCAATTTTTTCAAATATTAATTATTCGTTGTTGATTTTCAAAGTTAGAGAATTGTTTGTAATAAAAAAAATTAATATTCGACGCGATATGTTTAAATTAAGAGAAATTAAATACCAGTTAAAAAAATACACTGTAGTTATAACCGTCAAATTAAGTGGTGGTCAGTGGTACCAACAATTATCGATACTGATCACTTCCGGCAACTTAGAAAAAATAATTTGCGCGGGTTATTTAAAAATTTGCAAAATATTTCCTTTTTTTGGTCAATTTTTATAATGAAATAATTCGTTGTCACTTGATGATACGATTCTCACGTTGAAAAATGATTATTTCCTCGTCGACGGTAAAGGATTTACTCTTTATTGTGAGATCCGCGCGAAATCCCGTGACGATTCGCATGGAGCGTGCGCTTCGTCCAGCGTCCGACACGATACTACTTTAACTCTTCGTCTCGCTCACTCTTTCTCTCTATCTCTCTTTCTCTCCCTCGCACACTTGCTCCCACCCTACGCCCCCTCTGCGATTCATGTCACTCTCTCACTCTCTCTTATATTTGCAGGTCATGCAATCTCGCTCCTGTGCGCGACACTTCTGTTTTTCTCCCTCTAATCTGCACCGCGCGCTTCTCACCGTTTCGCGCGCGCGGGTGTGTCATCTGTCTCTGTCTTTCAGGGCGTCCGCCCCTGTGTACTGTGTGTAATGTTTCTCTCCTTCCCGTTGCCAGCAAGCACACTATGTATATACTTCTCACTCCTTTTTGCCCCCTTGCGCGTAATCCGAGTACAAAACTCAACGAGAGAGACTCTGGTATAGCCGCACTCGTTAAACAAACGCCTCGATGACGTCAAGTCTTGATGTGATTAAATTTATTACACCATTCGAAACCAATGCAAAAGATTTCCAGGTATACATGGACAAATTCTTTTTTTTAGGGGATTGCCAATTCACGATATTGATGAGCAATGTGAACATAGGCAAAAGTGGCGCCATTGTTGGAATTTGATGCATATCATGCATATTCATTACTTCCTCGATCATTTTGGAACGTTTCTTGTCAGGAGAGGTGAGAAATTTTAGTTTGTCTTTTTTTCGATCATATTTCATTTACTGGACATAGTTTTTTTTATAGTTTATTTATAATATGCGTAGAAATTTCTATATATGCTGCTCAATTTGTTGATTTTGTCGATTTTGTCAACAAGACACTGCAATGCAGACGAGACGCAATCTCGCAATTTTTTTTGTAAATAAATGATATTATTTCTAGATTTGTATTATATTTTGTCGATTTTATCAAATTACTTACGGCAATTAGGATTTTTTTGCGGGGCGGGAGGGAAAAATGTAGAAAATTGACCGCGCCAAAAAGTCATGTTGGTAGCACTGGTTTCGACGTTCATTGACCTTGTGATCGTGTCTAGGCTTGTACGTTGCACCTGCAGGATCGGTAAAAATGGTACGAATTTTACATTTAATACAGTTTTATTTCGCTTTTTTCATAATCTATGCCCTACGTTTAGTGATTAATGGATTAATAAATAAACAACAAGTAAATTAATCCAAAATGTGCAATTTTGTCGATTTTGTCTCACCGTGTGTGGTTATTTGCACCCCGTACATTATTGATATTTTTTCTCAAATATCGTTCGTATTATTATAAATAATACAATATTTTGTCGATTTTATCAAGACATTACGCAAATTCATCCCGACGATAACGGGATTTCTTTGGTATTGCAAAATTTTTGCCATACAAATTTTGAGGTTAGGTTGACCCTTTCGGAAATAATACCTGATTTATTGTTGGGTGACCTTGACCGGAGATTATAAATCTATATTGTTGGTAAGAAAACTTGCATTTTACTCCCATTCTTGCAAATATTTGTCTCTAATTAGCGAAAATTGATTTAAATCCCAAAATGCCAAAAATATTGACGATATTGACAATAGACATATTAGTCTATTGTCAATTTCCTACTTTACAAAATCATTTATTATTCCGCACTATAAGTGCTAAAGTGCAGAAAAAATCCCGATTTCTGATTAATAACGATGTAAATTAACCAATATAAAATTAAAATTATTTTCAGAAAATAAAATTTTGTTGAAAGTGTCATAACCTCAATTTTTTTGTCGAAATCAAAATTTTTTTATTCGGCACTAATCAAAATTCCGACAAATAGGATAAATTGTTGGTAAAAATAGAAGACATTTATTTAGTCTCCCGTGTTAAATTACTTAAAAATATTGTGGAAATCATGAAGGAGAAAAAAATTGCACTAAAGTATATTTTGTCTGAAATTGTTTTTACTTGACGCGGAAATTCTGCTAAACGTTAAAAAAAACTCTCCGCAACTACTTTATTGTTGACCTTTTAAGTTCTTTTCGGATGAAAACTGAACAAGGTATATATAAAAAATTGTTCAAGCCATACGAAGTGCATTTTTTTTCTTTTTTTTTTTGCTCAACATCACTTGTCGTGAATTACTCTTGCGGGTTAAAAGAATGCCTTCGGTGTAGAAACACCTTTTACGTGATAGGACAGGAACAACCATCTCAATTATCGGTAAAGGTCTTTCTAATTGGTTCGGTTAGAACTCTACCGACTTTCATAATTCAGTAACATACAATGTTATAGAAAAAAAAAGATTCTAATTTTTTTAGTATTTGTATTAATTTTTCTTGTTTAATTTGAGAAATTTTTATTTTATCAGTTTTTGAAAAAACAAAATTTATAATTTAATTAATATTTTCTTAATTTCCCTTTTTTATCTAAAATTAGAGAATTAAATTGATTTTCTCCCTCCCTGGGACTTCTGGAAGTAATTATATATTTAGAATATTTTTTTTTTGATAATTTGTTAGTGTGACCGCTTGTAAAAGCGGTGATTTATTCGAGATTAGTGAGACTCTTTTTTTTCATAGAAACATTTTGATCGTTGCAAAAATCGAGAGAAAGGAATGAAACATAAAACATCAGCTACCCAAAATAATCGAGGTCAACAGATTAACGGTTTATGTGATATACTCAAGCTAAAGAATTTTCTTCGATTTAGTTTCATCACTTCACAAATTGAAAATGAGTCATTTTTTTAATTTTAGAAATTGAACAATTTCTTCTTCTCGATTAGCGACAGTGTTTTCAAAAAGAAGAGAAAAATGTTCATTTTTCTCGTTATTTTATTGTTTTCCTTTATTTTTTTTTTATTATATATATTAATTGAATTCCTCTTATTTCAGGTGAACATTCTCAAGACGCTACGCTAGTTATTGATCTACAAACATACTTTTTTTGGGGTATTTACCAAGAGATAGAAACGGAGCTCTTGGAAAAAGAGAATAATCCTGCAAAATTATCTTGAAATCGATAAAATTATCTCATTTTTGAGAATTATAATTATTGTGAAATCAAACAAAGAGAAATGGGTAAGAAAAATATTTGATTTCATAGAAATTTTTGTTCTTGATTTTATATTGACCTTGAAGTTTGTATTATTGCCTTCCAAATCTTAATTAAATCGCCAACATTTGTTTCAGTCTGGAATTATTTAGAAGAAAGTGTATTGTAATTTGAGAAGGTCTTTCAAGGACGTTCAGTGTTTCGGGATGCATGAGGAGGGGTCATTTCGCAATTTCCCAGTTGTCTAGAGGGTAAGACCAATATTTATTTGAATTAAAGTTTCTTCAATTCAATTCGAATCGAATTATCCAGAAGTGTAATTTATTTTTTTATTTATTGCCGATGAATAATTTTTTTTAATCTATATTATTTATAATTTATCAGAATAAAAAACGAGTTATTTATCAAATTTTTATATTTTAACCACAATTTTTATTATATAATTGAAATTAAATTTTTCACATTAATCAAAATTAAAATTTTCAATTCACTTTTCAATTAAATTTGTCACTTTAGTGGAAATTAAATTATTAGCTTTAATGGAAGTTAAATTTTTTACCTCAATGCGGGAATTTAATTTTTTAAATCTATCAAAATTAAATTTTTCAATATAATTTTAAATGGAATTTTTTCTTTAATGAAAATTAAATTTTTCACTTTAATCAAAATTAAATTTTTCAATTCACTTTTCAATAAAATTACTCACTTTAATGGAAATTAAATTTTTCACTTCAATGGAAAGTAAATTATCTACTTTAATGAAAATTAATTAATTTTTCACATTAATTAAAATTAAATTTTTTTTTAATTGAAATTAAATTCTCCTCTTTAATAGAAATTAAATTTTCCACATCAATTGGAATTAAATTGTTCACATTAATCCAAATTTTATTTTTTACTAATAAAAATTAAATTCTTATCTTTAATTAAAATTAATTTATTCACTTCAATGGGAAGTAAATTTTTTAATTTAATGAAAATTAAATTTTTTACTTTAATGAAAATTAAATTTTTCAATTTACTTTTAAATTAGTTTTTTATTTTAATGGAAATTAAATTTTAAAAGAAAAATTATTCGCGGCATATTAATTAAAATAAAAAAAAATATTATACATTGGATAGCAATTGGATTAATTAATATATGACTAATTCGATTGCGATTAATAATTTAAAAACAAATGATATTTTTGTTTTTTTTGTCAAATTAGCGACAATTGTGCTTTATGAATCGAAAGAAAGAGTTCCGTGGGAAATAGTCTGTATATACTAATAAGCGTTCAAAATTAGCGTAGCCAAGCACATGCTAAACATTCAATAAAGCGCTCGAAAGCCTCCTGGAATAATCGTAATCATAAATAATCAGTCCTAAATATACGTCGGCGACGGTAATGTCCGCTCTCGCGCACCAACTGCTGTTCGCGAACCGTTAACGCGCTCACTTCGACGATAGTTTCTTGTCTTTTTCACAGTCTCTTCATATTTTCTCTTTCTCTCTTTTTTTTCATAAATCTTTCATTCCTCTGGAATTCCACGGTACGTCGTCACTTCGTCTTTCTCCTCTGGAGGAATATGTATATATATACATTTCAATGACTCGCAATCCGCAATACTTTCTTGTCCTCTTACTTCATAGTCTTTGAATTTTTAAGTGGTTAATGTCTTTATCTTCTCTCATCTTGTGAGCGTGATGTAAAAATACTTCTGTTTCCTAGTCATCTTTCAAACTCATAATTTTAATGTCCATATGTTCTTAAGAGCAAGCATCATTAATCTTGTTTATTAATTTTCAATACAGATACTCTCTAATTCTATATATACAGAAAACTAATTTAGATTGGTAAAATTTTGCTAAAATTAATTTTACTAGTTATGGTGAATTTTTATTTAGGTCTAATTCCGAAAAATCGGTATTTAAATAAGTTTTGAATTTAATTTCAAAAAAGTATATTGTGATAGGAAATTTTTAAATTATTAAAACAGGGTTGCCACAGAGGTCAGGGAAAAGTCAGGGATTTTTAGTAAAAGTATTACTGGAAAAAAATTTAATTTTAAAATTCATAAGAGAACTGAATTTTGGTATCTTTTTTGTTTGCTTCATAAACTATGAAATTACTACGAATTCTAATATAAAACTTTCAATTTTTTCTGTTTCTGACAATAATTTTTTTTAAAATAACTTAATTTTTCAAGAACTTTAATTTTTGGAAAATTTTAATAATTCAAATTCTTCTCAATTTAGTTAAATTTTTTAATGTATATTAAATTAATTATTAAAAATTATGGATTTATAGAAGAATTTTAGTTTAAAACACTAAATAAAATTGAATTTTGGAGAAGTTACAAATGAGTGCAGAAATTCAATTAATTTCAAAAGTAATAAAATTCTTGGCAAAATTCAATTATCTTAAAAAATAATAAAATTCTTCTCCAAAATTTAATTTTTTTAAAAAATTTTAATAAAATACTTTGCAAAATTTTAATTATTTTCAAAAATTTCCCTTATTAATTCAATTATTTTAAAATATCTACTATTTTAATAAAATTTACTAAAAGAGTTCAAATAAAAAAGAATTTTTATAAAATTCTACGCAAACATTTAAATATTTTCATAAATAATAAATATTTCGCAGGAATTCAATTATTTTTATAAATAATAAGACTATTCTCAAGAACTTAAATATTTTTATAAATAATAAAACTCATTGCAGGATGATTAAATTCTTCGAAAGAATTCAATTATTTAAAAATTTGTTAATAAAATTCTTTATAAGAATTCAATTTTAAGAAACATTAAATTAGGTATTTAATAAATTATTTATATTTGTGTTTAAATAATTGAATTATTGCAGAATTTGAGTTTTTTTTTAAATTATTGGAAGTTTTCATTCTCTTATAATATATTTAATTGATGAATTTACGAATAATCGATTCATTCTTTATGAAAATAATTGAATTCTTGCACCGAACTTTATTAGATTTTTTTAAATAATTGAATTCTTTCGAGAAATTTTATTTTAATAGTAGATTTTGAAAATATTTGAATTTCAGCGAACAACTTCATTATTTGTAAAATATAATTGAATTCTTGGAAAAAATTTTTCAAAACTTTTTGAAATTAATAACATTTTTCGAGGAATTCATTTAAAATTGTATTAAAAATACTTGAAATCCTGTGAAAAAATGTATAAACTAATGAAAATAATTGAATTCTTACAACGAATATTATTCCTTTTTTTAAATAATTGAAATCCTGTGATGAATTTTATTATTGATGAAAATAATTGAATTCTTGCAACGAAGTTCATTAAATTTTTTTAAATAATTGAATTCATGTGAAAAATTTTATTTTTTATAAAAATAATTGAATTCTTGCAAAAAATTTTCCAATACTTCTTGAAAATAATTACATTTTTTCGAGAAATTCATTTAAAATTGTATAAAAAATAATTGAAATCCAGTGAAAAATTTTATTATTCATAAAAATAATTGAATTCTTACCAGGAAGTTCATTAATTTTTTAAAAATAATTAAATTCATTTCAGAAATTTTATTTAAATAGTTGATTTTAAAAATATTTGAATTTCAGCGAAGAATTTAATCATTTTTGAAAAGTAATTGAATTCTTGCAAAAATTTTCCAATACTTTTTCAAAATAATTACATTTTTCGAGAAATTCTTTTAAAATTGTATAAAAAATAATTGAAATCCTGTGAAAAATTTTATTATTTATGAAAATAATTGAATTCTTACCAGGAAGTTCATTAAATTTTTTTAAATTATTTAATTCATATGAAAAATTTTATGTAAATAGTAGATTTTGAAAATATTTGAATTTCAGCGAAGAATTTAATTATTTGTAAAAAGTAATTGAATTCTTGCAAAAATTTTCCAATACTTTTTTTGAAAATAATTACATTCTTCCATAAATTAATTAAAAATTGTATAAAAAATAATTGAAATTCTATGAATAATTTTATTATTTATGAAAATAATTGAATTCTTGCAATGAACTTTATTAAATTTATTTTTAAATTATTGAATTCATGGGAAAAAATTTATTTTTTGCAAGAATAATTGAATTCTTGCGAAGGATTTTATTAGAATTTTTGTAAGTAATTTGATTTTTTTTAATTTGTGAAATTTTAAATTATTATAAAACACGAAGAAATCTATCACTCCGAGTCTTTGACTCGGAGTGATAGATTTCTTCGTGTTTTATAATAATATTCATTAGTTTTTGAGTTTCAAAAAGGTATGAATTTGAAATTTTTGAAAATCTTAATTGTTATGAAAAAATAATAATGATTAAATATTTATTTAAAAAAGAAGTTATTTTGATGTTTTTTAATAATTTTACAATATTAAAGTAATTCGTAAATAAATATAATAGTACATTATTATTCAATCTTTTACGTCCGAGAAATGGTAATTTTTGTGAAGGAGAATAAAACGAAAACATTCGGACAAATAGTTTTTAAAAAATTAGTTTACTCTGAATGAATTATACCTAATAATTTTTAGAGTGAATCACAATATTTTTAAGGGTCAGGGAAAAAGTCAAAATTTTGTTTGGAAATCAGGAAAAAACAAAATTAAATTTTTGTGGCAACCTTGTAAAAATAAAATTGAAAATCAGATGTTAATTACACGTTTTCATTTGCAGAACAGAAGGGTAATCGGAGTATATTCATTTTTTTTTTGTCTCCGATTCATGATGGTTCGTCCCACCGCACCGCTCCCAGATTTGGAACAGCACACAAGTCTAATAGGGGAACGAGAGAGTTCGAAATAACATAATGCTTAACTAAGCGTGTCCGCGATCGTCATTAGTACGCAATAATGGTTTAATGGTTAGGTTAGCGTGCTCTTCGATTCAACATAACGTAACACGGACGTGTTATTCTGATGATGTGCGGCGGCAAGAGTTTTCACCATATATATACGGGGTTGGTTGTACCAATCGAAATCGACTATACGACTAGTATGTATAATATGTACACGACAACGGACATATGGTCGGTTGGCTCGACCGATTAGATACATTTGCATTACAATAACCCAATGTCTGCCCACCATCGCTAAGCATTTCGCTTTATTACGACCACCACCGTACAGCTTATAGTCTATGCCCATACCAGCATAATGGCACTTAACCTGGTATAAAAAAAAAATGTAAAAATTTGTTGCAGCTTTTAGATACGTCCCGGTTGGATACCTTTTGTTTACCCGGGTTTATACTCTTCAGAAAGAAAAAAGAGAAACCCGTTCGCATTTGAAACCCAAAGCCGCTAACTCGGATCATCGCTTATATACTACCAGAGGCACCCTTTACATTGTTCTATCCGTAAGGATCTTCAAGAACCACTGAATTCTATATATGTTCGATAGATATCACTGCGGAGTTTCGACGCTTTCAACAATGGAATGGAAAAAAACCCTTTACTACAATATGTACACTCCAAATTGTTTCAACGAACGGATAAAGATTCGAGAGATTCAAGAAGGAATGAAAATAATGACGTAAGTTCCTCTTTTTTTCATTATTAAATGTTGGATTTAAAATTAGAATACCAGAGTTGCCACAGGTCATAGGAAATTCAGGGAAAAGTCAGGGAATTTCATTAAAAGTACTGGAAAGAAATTAAATTTTTAGAATTCATGAGAAAAATTCTGAATTTTGGTATCTTTTTTGTTTGACTCATAAACTGTAAAATTACCACGAATTCTAATACAAAATCTTAAATTTTTTCAATTTCTAACAATGTTCTATTTTAAATAACTTAATTCTCAAAGTCATACAATTATTACATAAAATTATTACTCATAAATTATTTGATGAATTATTTTACTTAAATATTTCATAAATTATTGAATTTTAAGAGTTTCCCTTAAGATTTTCATAAATAAATGAATTTCAAACGGTTTCAATTTAAAATTTCAGAAAATTTCAATTCTGAATGAATTTAATTATAGAAATTTAAAAAAAAATTAGTTTTTTGAAAAATGTTAATAATTCAAATTCTTCTGAAACTAGTGAAATTTTTAAATAAATATTTAATTAATTATTAAAAATAATAAATTTATAGAAGAATTTTAATTAAAAACTTTGAATTTTGAAAAGGTTTGAAATTCAAATATTTGGAAAATCTGTATTTTTCATAATTTTAATTAGTAATTTTGGAGAACTAACTGTTTTGGGAAATTTAATTTCAATTTTGTTGAAATTGGTTGAGAACTTTTTAATATATATTTAATATTAATTCAAAAATTTTAACGCAATTCTGCAAAAGAATTCAATTATCTTCTTAAATATTAAAATTCTTTGCGGAAATTTAATTATTTTTCAAAATTTTCGAAAAATTATCGTTAAGAATTCAATTATTTTTATAAATAACAAAATTCTTCGCCGAAATTTAATTATTTTCAAAAAATCTTGTCAATATTCAATGATTTTCTATGGCTACTATTTTAATAAAATTCTTCGCAAGATGTCAATTATTTTCAAAAAAATATTAAAAATCTTCCTAGGAATTCAATATTTATCAAAATAATTTCAATAAATTTTCTCGAATGAATTCAATTATTTTTAATACAAATTTTAATTATTTAAATCCTTCCGAACAATTAAATTGTTTTTTGAAAAAAATAAAATTCTTCACAAGAATTCAATTATTTTCACAAAGATTAATAATTTTTTTTGAAAGAATTCAATTGTGTTTAGTACAATAATTATTTTCATAATAATAATAAAATTCTTCGTAAAAATAAATAATTTTCAATACAATTTTAGTAAAATTACTCGAAAGAATTAAATTATTTTCAAAAATTTTGACAAAATGTTTTATAAAAGTTTAATTATTTTCAATATATTTATAATTAAATTCCTAAAAATATTTCAATTATTTTTAAAAATATCAATAATATTCTTTTAAACAATTCAATTAAATTTTCATAAAAATAATAAAATTCTTGCTCTAAATCCAATGGTTTTTCAATTTCTCGAAAGAATTTAATTATTTTCTAAAATGTTAATAAAAATTCGTCAAAACAATTAAATTATTTAAAAAAATTTTAATAATGTTCTTGTCAATATTTCAATTATTTTCAAAAATTTTCCTCAATTCAATAATTTCCAATATCTATTATTTAAATAAAATTTCCTAAAAGAATTCAAATAAAAAAAAATTTATAAAATTCTACGTAAACATTTAAATTTTCATAAATATTAAAAATTTCATAAGAATTCAATTACTTAAAAAAAATTGGAAAACGTTTTTTTGATAAAAATATATTTTTTAAATTAATATTAAAAAAATTCTTTACAATGATTTAATTATTTTCATAAATATTTAAATTCTTTTTAAGAATTCAATTATTTTCATAAATAATAAAATTCTTTGCAGGAATTCAATTATTTTCATAAATTATAAAACTTATCGCAAAATTTCAATTATTTTAAATACAATTTTAATCGAATTTCTAAAAAAATATCATTATTCTTAGAAATTTTATTAAAAATCGTCCAATAAATTCAATTATTTAAAAATTCAATTTTAAATTATTTATATTTGTATTTAAATATTTGAATTCTCGTAGTACTTTTATTTAAAATTGATTTTAATAATGAATTTCAGTGAAAATTTTAAATAATAATTGAATATTAAATGCATTATAGCTTGAATTTTTAGAAATAATTGAATTTTGAAAAGGTTTCAAATTAAAATCTTTGCAAAATTGAATTTTTCCTACTTTTAATTAACATTGTTGTAGATCTATAATTTTTCTTGTAAAAGTTTAATTGAAATTCTTTTGAAATTATTTAAAATTTTTATTTTTTAATATATATTTAATTGAAAAATTTCTGAATAATCGAAATTTCATAAAACTGAATTGTAAACAAATGGATTTGAAAATTCTCAAAGAATTTTTTCAAAACTTATTAAAAATAATTAATAATTGAATTCTTTCGAAGAATTTTAATAAAATTTTTGAAAATAGGAGTTACATTTTTCGAAGAATTTACTTAAAATTATACTAAAAATAATTGAAATCCTGTGAAAAATTTTATGATTTTTTGAATTGAAATCCAGTAAAGTATTTTATCAGGATTTATAAAAATAATTGAATTTTTGCAACGAATTTTATTACATTCTTTAAAAATAATTGAATTCTTTTAAGAAATTTTATTAAAATAGTAGGTAGAATTTAAAAATATATGAATTTCAGCGAAGAATTTAATTATTTGTAAAAATTAATTGAATTCTTGCAGAAATTTTTCAATACTTCTTTAAAATAATTACATTTTTCGAGAAATTCATTAAAAATTGTATAAAAAAAAAATTAAAATCATGTAAAGAATTTTATTATTTAAGCAAATAATTGAATTCTTGCAACGAATTTTATTACATTTTTTAAAAATAATTGAAATCTTGTGAAGAGTTTTATTATTTATGAAAATAATTGAATTCTTGCAACGAATTTTATTATATTTTTTAAAAATAATTGAAATCTTGTGAAGTATTTTATTATTTATGAAAATTTTTGTAAATATTTTTTTTTTTTTTTGAAAAATTTTATGTAAATTTAAATTTTTTATCTTTAAATTAAAATTTAAATTTTTTGAAGAAATCGTCAAAGACTCGGAGTGATCGATGTCTTCATGTTTTCTAATAATATTCATCAGTTTTTGAATTTCAAAAAGGTTTGAATTTGAATTTTTTGAAAATCTTAGTTTCTATCGAAAAATAATAATGATTATCTAAATATTTATTTAAAAAAGAAGTTATTGATGTTTTTGAATAATTTTACAATTAAAGAAATTCTTAAATAAATGTAATAGAATTTTTTTTTGAGTATCTAATAATTTTTAGAGTGAATCAGAATATTCTTCAGGGTTAGGGATGAAGTCAAAATTCTGTCTGAAGATCAGGAAAAAGACATAAGAAAAAACAAATTTAATTTTTTGTGTTATCAAAAAATGAATGTTGTTTTTACCTACAATATAATCTTGATATACTTTTGGTTTATAATTTAGCATTTCTGATTGATTTGTAAATCGTTTAATGCAACATAATTAATTTAGCTCGAAGCGTTATAATATTGCTCGTACAAGTTATACGTATATATATACGAATATATATTACATGTAATCAGGAATTTTTCTCCAATAGGTGCGTTTGGACGTATGTGCAATTATGTAATAAGTAAGAGAGAGAGTATACTAATTATTATTCATGTCTGTTAAGTTTCTTCTATATAGAAAGAAAAAGATTGTTGCTATCGGCTTTCTAGCATTATTATCGTTCTCGCGGACGAGATATGCAAAATCAAGTATCCTTAGAGCCTGAGGCGTTGTATGCACCACCATAAACACGTGTATACATATATATGCATATAGACGGCTTTACCGGTGACTAAATCAAGATCAGTCACGGATGACGTTCCCTCGACGACTTTATGACTGATATTATTCGGTTTATATCGATATACCCACTTGTCCTGTGTGCGATAATGTCGATAATGATCTACCGGAAATTATAAAAAAAAAAAATCATGCGCGCCTCTCCCTCTGTTATAGTTTTTAGACATTTATAAATAACTACCTTACACACACAGTACAAAAAATATAGTCTTTATAATTTCGATCCAGCTTGATAATAAATATTCTCTTATATGCATTATGATTCCAAGAGGGAAAGCTTTTCGAAAATCGATTTTTACATTTTTTATATTTGTCTAAATTGTTTATATTAATTTTGTTTGTTTATTTTCACAGGGTTGCCACAGGTCAGGAAAATCAGGGAATTCAGGAAAAGGTCAAGGAAAGTAGAATTAGCCAGGGAAAAATCAGGAATTTTTATAAAAAGTACTGGAAAAAATTTCTTTTTCTATTTCTACGACCACAATGGATTTTTGAATATTGTTCAATTATTTCAAAAGTTTTAACGCAGTTATCTTGGTAAGTAACAAAATTCTTCACATAAATCCAATTATTTTTAGGAATTTAAATAAAAATCTTTGGAAAATTCAATTATTTTCACAAATAATAATATTCATCAGAATAATTCAATTATTTTCAAAAGTAATAAAATTCTTCGGGGATATTCAATTATTTTTTAAAATTTTAACGAATATCTCGTCAAGAATTCAATTATTTTTAAAAATAGAATAATCTTTCGCCAAAAATTCAATTATTTCTAAAAATTTTAAATAATTTTTTTGCAAAAATTCAATTAGTTTCAATTATTTTTCGCAATTAAATAATTTTCAATATTTACTATTTTCATAAAATTTATTAAAAAATTTAATTATTGACAAAATTTTTTGATACAATTCTACGAAAACATTCAATTATTTTTATAAATAAAATAAAATTTCATTTAGGAATTCAATTAATTTTAACGCAGATTAATTAATATCGCAATTATTCTTAAAAATTTTATTAGATATTGATAAAAGAATTCAATTTTAAGAAACATTAAATTATTCAATAAAATAATAAAATTCTTTGCAATAATTCAAATATTTCCATAAAAAAACTTTTAATTCTTCGCAGAAAATCAATTATTTTCAACATTTTTTTGAGTAATTGAGGCTCCGGATCTTAAAAGGGCACTTTTACCTTGTAAAGTCTATGCGGAAAGTGCCCTTTTAAGATCCGGAGCCTCAATTCTGCAAAAGAATTCAATTTTCTTGATAAACAACAAAATTCTTCCCAAAAAATCAATTATTTTAAGGAATTTTAATAAAATTCTTTTTGAAAATTCAATTAGTTTGATAAATAACAAAATTGATTGCGAGAATTCAATTCTTTTGAAAAGTAATAAAATATTTTGCAGAAATTAAATTATCAAAATTTTTGAAAAATTCTCGTCAAGAATTAAGTTATTTTTATAAATAGGTTCTAAAATTCTTCTCAAGAAGACAATTATTTTTAAAAAGTTTAATAAAATTCTTCAAAAGTTTTCAATTATTTTCGAAAATTGTGATAAAATTATATAATTCAATAAATTTCTGTAAAATTAAATTAAATTCTTTAAAAGAAATTAATTATTTTGAAAAGTTGTTAATAAAATTCTTCATGAAAATTTAATTTTAAGAAACATTCAACTATTCAATAAATTATTTAGTTTTGTATTTGAATAATTGAATTCTCGTAGAATTTTCGAATAAAAATTTATTTCAAAATGAATTTCGATTAAAATTTTGAATAATAATTTTAATATTAAAAGCATTAATTTTTAGAAATAATTAATTTTTGAAAAGGTTTCAAATTTAAATTTTTGGAATTATAAATTTTTCGTACTTTTAACTATAATAATTAATTTAAAGAAAAATTGTAGTTAAAAATTTTAGAAAACGTTAATTGAATTTAAATGATGAAAATAATTTCGAAGAAGTTAGAGTAACAACGTTTTTATGTAAAATAATAATTTATTAGACTCGGAGTGATTGACTTCTTCATGTTTTATAATAATATTCTTATTAGTTATTGAATTTCAAAAAGGTTTAAATTTGATATTTTTGAAAATCTTAGTTCCCAAGGAAAAATAATAATCGGAATATTCTAAATGTCAAAATTCTCGCTCTGGAAATGAGGGAAAAACAGAATTAAATTTTTGTCGCAACCCTGTTTTAGTAATTTTATGTACTTTCAGTTTTTAATCCCAAAAATAAAGGAAGTAAAATTATTTTAGATTTTCTAATCCTATTTGAAGAGAAATAGGAGAAAAATTTTTAGGATTAAAAACTCGAGACACGAGAAAGTAAATTTTATTTTGAGAAAAATAAGAGGAAAATTGCTCTTATTGTGTTAAAATGTTATAAAAGAATTAAAAATGTGGTATTAAGGGCGGGTATCAGGCACAACGGGATATCTGAAAGACCTTCAGTTAGAAATTAATTAGAAAAGTGCGGAGAAGCTCGCAAAGACCTTGACGGTGTTGTCGGGGGTTCGGGGTTAGGCAATCAACGAGTAGATGAATTAATGGCTACGCCAACTACCCTCGAGGAGAGAGAGAGAGAGAGAAAGTATAAGAAGGGCGCGTTCCAGTTACGTATACGTGAAAGTAGTTTCTTTATGTATGTAATCACCCTTATAGCCTTGTCTTAACACACAGAGAAAAAAATTGCAAACACACATTACAAAGATTGCAAACATGTATTTTTCAACACAGGGAAAAAAAAAATTTTTTTCTCATTTGATGCGTGTGTTTGTTTGAGAGAGGAAGAAAGACTTTGGAATTCTAACCATTGAGCATTACCGTTTTACCACTCTCCCGAAAAGTATCCCCGAAATCTATCGGACGATTTTCCACTCGGAATCATTCCCCTGGCAAGAAAAAAAACAATAGAAGAGTTTTTCCATATAGAATCGAAAGTCCTATAGATATATATATATATATATATATATGTAATCTAACGTCTCACCAGGATTTTAATGAAAAAAAATCTCGAGTCAAAATTGAATTTGAGCACCTTTGGATGCGACTAAAGTGATTTTATTAGAAGCGATTGCTCTTTTCAACTTTTCCATAAGGTGGAAATTAAATTCCTTGAAATAATTTAAGGTTTATTAGTTTTTTAAATTAGTCTAATTTTTTTCTATTATTATCTATTCGAATTTTAAGATTTTTTAATGGAAAGGGAATTTTATTCCTTTTTTATTTTTTGTATTTCTACTTCCTTTTATTATATTTGTTTTATTTTCTTCTATATTTCCAGGCCTCGGATAGTTCGACTTTTTAGATTTCTTTTTACTATTTTCAAAAAAGGCGATTTTTTCGATTTATTTTCAAACAATGCGACTTTTTCGAGTATTTTTTAAGTATTTTATTAAAATTTTTGAAAATCAAATTAGAAAAAATTTTAATTGCAAATTTTTAAAATAATTCAATTCTCAAAAATTTTAATGAAAAATAAAAATTAGTTTCAAAAAAAGTATTTTTAAGAAATTATTCAAAAATACCAATTTTTAGAATGTTTTTACTAATTATTTTTATAATTAAATTTTTTTCAATTATCTATTACCGAAAATTCAAATATCTAAAGGGAATAATTGCATTAAGATTTTTTTTAAATTGAAATAAAAAATAATAATTGAAATTCTGTAAAATTTTCTTTAAAATAATTGATTTTTTTTAAGTATTTCATTACAATTTTCAAAAATTAAATTTTGCAGAATTTTAATTACACATTTTTTAAATAATTCTTAATTGACTTAATTTAAATAATTCTATTCTCTAAAATTTTTAAGAAAAACCAAAATAGAAATTAGCTTCAAAAAAAGTATAATTCAGAAATTATTCTAAAAAAAACCAAGTTTTAGAATATTTCTACTAATATTTTTTATATTTTAATTATTTTCAATATTTTCAATTATCTATTTCCGAAAATTCAAATAAACAATAATTGCATTAAGATTTTTTTTTAAATTGAAATAAAAAAAATAATAATTGAAATTCTTTAAAATTTTCTTGAAAAATAATTAATTTCTTTTAAGTAGTTCATTATAATTTTAAAAAATCAAATTTTGTTGAATTTTAATTGCAAATTTTTAAAATAATTAAATTCTTAAAAATTTTAATGAAAAATCAAAATAAAAATTAGCTTCAAACAAAGTCTAATTAAGATTTAATTCTAAAAAAGCAATTTTTAGAATATTTTTCTGAAATTCAATTCTTTTCAATATTTTTATTTATCTATAATCTAAAATCCAATTTACTTATCTAAAAATGTTATAATTATTTTTATAATTTTGAAAAAAAGAATTATTTACAAAAATTTAAATGAAACTTAAATATTTTTTAATATTTTCCAAAAATTATTTTAAAAAATTCAATTATTGAGAAAAATTTTACTAAGTTTAAATTATTTGCCAATTTTTTAATTATTTGACAATTTTTCAATTATATATTTAAAAATTATTAATTAGTAATTAGTAATTAAAAAATCTATTTTCTTTTAAAAACTAATTTTTAAGAATTTTTTTATTATAATTTATTTTAAATTTAATTACTTTCAATATTTTCGGTTTAATTTTTGGAAATAATTGAATTTTTCAGAATCTTTGAAATTTAAATTTAAAAAATTTAAATTCCTGTTAAAAAATAAATAATGGGTATTTAAATATTTTTATGTAACACATTTCTATTTTATTTAACAATCAAATAAAATTAATGAAGAGAATTTTGTAGAATTCGAATTAAATTAATGAAGTGAATTTCGAAGAATTCGAATTAAATTAATGAAGAAAATTTCATTGAATTCGAATTAAATTTTAATGAAGAAAGAATTTCGAAGAAACTTAATTTAAATAAGAAAACAAAATCTATATTGCGGAGAATTTTTAACGAAAATTGGCAAATTTTCAAATTGTACGAAATAATTGATGATTTAACTCCACTCCATTAAAGTTGTTTAAAGAATGAAGTATTAAAAAAGCTGTACAAGTATTTTTCACTTAGGCTCCAAACTGTCTAACATCACTTATACTACGTGCTTAATATGTAAATTACCGTCAGACGGTGCTTGGTTTGTAAACTCGTAGTTCCAGGGACTTGATTGTGAAAAGAAGGGTTGTTTGCAAACTTTTATTTAACTTACACCTGTGCAATTGTGAGTTAGGTTTTTTTTAATGTGCTTATACATATAAAGACGAATTAGTGCACTATGGCAATGTTTAGGCTATTTTAAAATATTAAAGCAATTATCCATGAATAATTCTTCACCCTCAAAATGAAGGGGGAAATGAGAGAAAGAGTATTACTTTCGGTTCTGTAATGCATTGTCCAAAGAAGTGAATCCTTGCATGTCGGTTAACCATCGTCCCTCCGCGTCAGACCCAGGGTCGTTGAATTTATCGTTAAGTGATGTCCGCGTTTATTTATCGCGAGCCTTCTATCCTTAACGGTCGTGAACTCATTTCATTATTCGCAAAGTGCACCCAGGAAAATTTACTGGTGAGGGCGTCTCCACATTGTTTTCGCGGGTTTTTAAATGCCTAATTTTCTTTTTTTTTCTGATCTCTGCCTCGCAATTTTCTTTCTTCTTTTTCTTCTTCTTCCTCTTCTTCAAAGAGGTAATTGGTTCTCACACAGTATTTTCATAAACTATACTCTGAAATGATCCGTACCAATTATCGCTTGTGACAGTTTCAAGGCTTTGTTTCTTCGAGCTATTTGAAAAATAAAATTATGCTGCCATAAAAATGTAATCGGAATGGAGTTGATTACTTTTGATATTTATTGTTAGAATTTCCCGTTTAGAAAATGAAATTGAATTTTTGGCATAGAATATTTTACAAGTAAAGTTTTAAATATTTTATATTTCAGTTGAGTTCTAATGAGAATTGTGTTGAATTTGCTCTTATTTACTCTCTATTTTTGGTTTTTCTAGATCTTTGCGGTTCTGGTGCTACTAGTGAAAAAAATGCTGCAAATCAGATGAAAGATTGTGTCCTTGCCTCCATTATCTGAATTTTCGGAAAAAGAAATGTTAAAACTTCGTTGAAATGTTGAAGAATTAACCAGAATTCTTGGGAAACGGAGTGAAATATTTCACTGAAGGTATTTTTCCTAATTTTTAATATTTAACGCTAAATTAAAAAACGTCAGAATTGACACAGATCAGGAAAATCAGGAAATAAATAATTGAATTTCCAAAAGTTTCAAATTGAAATTTAAAAACATTGAATTTAAAGTTTTGAACATTGAATTTAAAATTCAATATTTAATTGAATTAAAAATTCTGAAGAAATTAGTTTTTTGAAAAATTTGTATTCAATTTTTACTAAATTAGTCAAATTTCATACATTTAATTGAAAAATTTTCGAATTTTCGTAAAAATCTCAGAAAATTATTAAAAATAATTGATTTAGAAAAGAATTTCAATTAAAAATTCGAGATAATAATTGAATTTTAGAAGACTAGTAGGAAAAATTTCTAGAAATTATTCAAAGAGATTTCGAATTGAAAGATTAGAAAATTTCAATTTTAAATAGTTTTAATAAAAAATTATAAAAATTTAATTTTTTTGACAAATTTTATATCAAATTCTTTGTAATTTAATTTTTGAATATTCGAATTTAATTGAAAAATTTTCAAGTAGTTGAAATTTTGCAAAATTGAATTGTAAATTGATTTCAGAAATATTTTAGTTGAAAATTTTTTTTTATCTCTCAACAATTGAATTTATTTATTTATTTATTTAGTAAATGTATACGGGCTTACAAAAAAATGCCCTTTAGTAAAATTCACAAAAAACTTTTTGAAAATTATTAAAAATAACAAATTTAGAAAAGAATTTCAATTAAAAATTTGAGAAAATAATAGAATATTAGAAGAATAGGAGAAATTTCTAGAAATTAAATTCTAAATAAGTGTATTTCAAAAATATTTTGGGTGAACTTTTTTTTTCTTTTTATTAATTGAATTCTCAAAGAACTTTCTTAAAAATTATTAAAAATAATTGATTTAGAGAAGAATTTTAGTTAAAAATTCGAAAAAAATAATTGAATTTTAGAAGAATTATAGTAAAGGATTTTAGAAAAAATCCAAAAAGATTGAAAAATTTGAAAATTTTATTTTTGCAAAATTTTATGTAAATCATATTTTTTCGAAATTAATTGAAATTTTTGAATATTCATTTTTAATTGACAAATTTTTAAATAATTGAAATTTTGTAAAATTTAATTGTAAGTAAGTGGATTTCTAAAATATTTTAGGTGAACATTTTTTTATCTTTGAATAATTGAATTCTCATAGAATATTTTCAATTAACAGCATGTGACTGTTACAGAAATCAATGTTAATTTTTTCGACCACTTTTCTCTTAAAATATTAAATAAATTAAGCTAGTTTTTTGTGAATAATTCTAAAATATAATAAAGAAGAGCAGTAATGTGCAAAAGTTTTAATAATTCTAAAATAAATTATAAAAAAATACTTTGAAATCGGAAAAGACGAGAAATTGATTAAAAGTGATTTTGAGAACTGATAATTTTAAAGTTATTTTTTAATAAATAATTTTAAAAATATTAAAACTTTTTCACATCACTGCCCTTCTTTATGATATTTTAGAGTTATTCACAAAAAATTAGCTTAATTTATTTAATATTTTAAGAGAAAAGTGGTCGAAAAAATTAACATTGAATTCTGTAACAATCACATGCTGTTAAACATAATGGATTTAGTAAAAAAATTGTATGTAGTTAAAAATTCTAGAAAATAATTGAATTGAAATCTTAAAAATAATTTTGAAATACTTTATTGTGAGGTAAAAATTGAAAATTCTATCTGGAAATTAGGAAAAAATCAGGGAAAAACGAAATCAAATTCTTGTGGCCACCCTGAATGCAATCTTTATTTTTGAAGAACATCACAAGAAATTATCTAAATTAAAGTTCAAACAACTCTGGTTTACTAGTTTAATATTATTTTCTTTAACATTAATTAAACAATATTCAACATTCAACAATATTTTGAAAACTAGTATAAAATATAGCAAAATGCCAAAAAATTCTTCAGACTGTATAAAAATTTCTTCTGCTCTGGTTAATCGAAAAGTAGTGTATTTTTTTATGATTGCCTCTCGACAAAGTGTAAAATAATGTATCTAAGAGCTCTGGATGTTATTCCACGAAGAGCTCGTCAATTAAATCTAAATCGAAGTTTTAGCAGTTCGTGATATACGAGTCAGTTTTGAAACCAGCTGCTCTACAAGCGGACGGAGATTATAAAGCGTTTATAGCACAGCTTCCCACCTCAGGGCACTTCGCTTCTGATCTGCATAAAAATAGGGGAATCGGAAAGAGGAGGAAAGGGGGAGGGAAGGAGGACAGTGAAAGGGGGAAGAGGATCCTTAATACAAGATCAGATTATGATTTTGCGGGGGAGTACGCGAGCGCGGTGGTGGAAATAATACATACCGGCCTCTCTTTCTCTATATATATATACGAGAAAAAGAATATTCTATGTTTGTATAAGTATTATGCTGCCACAGGATTGGACGATCTTCGTCATTAAACGACCGCGATAACTTGGCGATTTTAAAGGATCAAGTACGAAAAAAAGGAAAACAAAAAAAATTTTTTCTTCCTTTTTTTTAAAACTCATCCTCTTGTATCGAATGGTGTGAGATCACATCGTTTTAAAGGTGGATTATATAAAAAAAGAAGGAGAGGAAAAAAAAGAAGAAGTGTTGGAAATGTGCTCTCAAGAGAGGATATTAAAACCATTGAAAAGACAACTTTTTTAAGTGTCGTAATATATTTCCAGTCGCGGGAGTACAAGTTTGTTGCGGGAAATGTCTTGAAACAAAATGCGATTTTTTTCGATAATAAAAATTTTTTTCCAGAATTTTTTTTTGCTTTTTGTAGAGTTTTTTTTGTATATTTTCTTTGTATATATTTTTTGTATTTATTATTTCTTCTAATACAGATTGTTAATTTTTTGCTTTTTTTAGATTGTCCTCGCTATTCGCTGCCTCAGAAATTATCAATTTTGGAAATATTTGATGAACGGAGGAGAAAATGTGCAAATACTGTAAGGCAGCTTGTTTTAAATTTTAATTTCTTTGTGTTTATTATATCTCTTAGTAAAGATTATTAATTATTTATCTGTTTTTTTAGATGTGGCCTCTATTTTCTAAATGAGAAATTTTCAACACCAAACGGTAGTAATTAATTTTGGAACTATGTAATTGATGAATTGACGACAAAATATTTTAATTCTGCAATGCTGTATGAGTGAGTATTTGAATTTTAATTTCCTTGTATGAATATAATTTCTGCTTTTAATACAGAATTTATTCAGGGTTGCCACAGATCAGGAAAATCAGGGAAAAGTCAAAAAGAGTAAAATTGGTCTGACAATCAGGGAATTTTGTCAAAAGTACTGGAAAAAGTATTAAATTTCTAAAATTGATAAAAAAAATGTAGCTTTTGGTGATCAGTAACTTTTGAAAATTTTAAAAACATTTCATTCTTCTTGAATTCTTTTTTTGATATTTCGGTCGCTAATCTTTCAAAATTAAATTATTTTTTTAGTTTATAATAAAATTATTCACAAAATAATTTATAAATTAAAATTTTATCTAAATTTATTAAAAAATTAAATTATGATAGAACTTTATAGAATATGAAATTAAATTTATTTTAAATAATTGTATTCTCCAAAAATTTCCACAAAATAATAATTTATAAATTATTTCATGAATCATTATACTTAAAAATTCAAAAAGTAGTTGAACTTTAAAATAGTTGCGTACGCAATTTTTATAAATAATTGAATTTTAAAAGTTTTTAAATTTAAATTTCTTGAAACTCTTAATTGTAGTGGGGAAATGATAATAATAATGATGATTAAATATTTCAGGGATCGCAATTTTGACAATTTTAGATTTTTTACCAAAGGGTGGAGACTATTATATAAGTAAAGTATTTTTGAAGAGCACAAAAATAATGAAGCTAAATGACATAAAAAAGAAGAAAAAATGTTGCATTTTAAAAAATTTGGTTTTTCGAATTTTTGATAATTTTTTATTTTTTACCAAAGGGTGGAGACTATTAAATAAGTAAAGTGTTTTTGAAGAGCTCAAAAATAATGAAGCCAAATGACATAAAAGAAAAGAAAAAATGTTGAATTTTAGGAAATTCGGTTTTTTGAATTTTTGGTAATTTTTAATAATTTTTTATTTTTTACCAAAGGTTGGAGACTATTAAATAAGTACCTAAAGTATTTTTGAAGAGCACAAAAATAATAAAGCTAAATGCCATAGAAAAGAAGAAAAAATGTTGAATTTTAAGAAATTCGGTTTTTCGAATTTTTGGTAATTTTTAATAATTTTAAATTTTTTACCAAAGGGTAGAGACTATTAAATAAGTAAACTGTTTTTGAAGAGCACAAAAATAATGAAGCTGAATGCCATAAAAAAGAAGGAAAAATGTTGAATTTTAAAAAATTTAGTTTTTTGAATTTTTGCTAATTTTCCATAATTTTAGATTTTTTACCAAAAGGTGGAGACAATTAAATAAGTAAAGTGTTTTTAAAGAGCACAAAAATAATGAAGCCAAATGACATAAAAGAAAAGAAAAAATGTTGAATTTTAGGAAATTCGGTTTTTAGAATTTTTGGTAATTTTTAATAATTTTTCATTTTTTACCAAAGGGTAGAGACTATTAAATAAGTAAACTGTTTTTGAAGAGCACAAAAATAATGAAGCTGAATGCCATAAAAAAGAAGGAAAAATGTTGAATTTTAAAAAATTTAGTTTTTTGAATTTTTGCTAATTTTCCATAATTTTAGATTTTTTACCAAAAGGTGGAGACTATTAAATAAGTAAAGTGTTTTTGAAGAGCACAAAAATAATGAAGCTAAATGCCATAATGGGGAGGAAACAATGTTGAATTTTAATAAATTATGTTTTTTGAATTTGTGATAATTTTCGGTAATTTTAGATTTTTTACCAAAGAGTCGAGACTATTAAATAATTTAAGTATTTTCCAATAGCACAAAAATAATTAAGCTAAATCCCATAAAAGAAAGGAAGATGTGATGAATTTTAAGAAATTCGGTTTTTTAAATTTTTTACAATTTTCGGTAATTTTAGATTTTTTACCAAAGAGTCGAGACAAGTAAATAAGTAAAGTATTTTTCAAGAGCACAAAAATAATAAAGCTAAATGCCATAGAAAAGAAGAAAAAATGTTGAATTTTAAGAAATTCGAATTTTTGAATTTTTGGTAATTTTCGATAATTTTAGATTTTTTACCAAAGAGTTGAAACTATTAAATAAGTAAAGTATTTTTCAAGAGCACAAAAATAATGAAGCTAAATCCCATAAAAGAGAAGAAAAAATGTTGAATTTGAAGAAATTCGGTTTTTTGAATTTTGGATAATTTTTAATAATTTTAAATTTTTTACCAAAGGGTGGTGACTATTAAGTAAGTAAAGTGTTTTTGAAGAGCCCAAAAAAAAGTGATTGAATCGTAGAAATATTGCGCTCGCAATATTTTTAGAAAACAAAATTTTCACAAATTTCAATTGTGAAAAATAATGATTAAAATATTTATTTAATAAGAAAATTATTTATGATGAAAATAATTTTAATTAAAATGCTTTTAATAATTTTTTATTTAAATTTGATGTTTAAAGTCGAATTAATTGAGGAATACAAATAAATATATTAGAAACATTTTTTTGTGTTTCTAATCATTTTTAGAATGAATTAAAATGTTCTTTATGAAAGGTCATTATTCTGTCTGAAAATTAGGGAAAGTTAGAGAAAAACGAAATCACATTTTTGTCGCAACCCTATTTTTAATTTTTCGAAATAGAGTGAAATATTTCCGGAAAAACTTGAAATATTAATTTTTTGTTTTTTTTAGATTGTGCCTACAATTTCCTGAAACCAGAGATTGATCAATTTTGGATCTATTTGATGAACTGAGGAAACGAATGTCCAATACTTTAAGAGTGAGTGTTTAAATTTTAATTACTCAATTCTAATTAATATTTGGGTAAAAAATATTCGGTGTGGTTAGTTTAGTTTTTTTTAATACGTCTTGTGGTAAATTTTTGAAATATGGAAATTTTCTTAATTATTAAACCACTTTTTTTTGCATACATATATAGCATTAGGGAACGCTTCTTTTTTAACAATGGGAAGAGAGGTAATCCAGCCATGGAAATATTTCGAGAGGTTGGCAAAAATTTCTTGACAGTGAAAAATTTATTTTTGCGGTCTTGACTAAAGTTAAAGGTGATTCTTAATCTCGATTTGGTATAGCGAGGCGATAATTGATGAGATGCAAAGGAGAATAGTGGAGGTCGATTGGATTTATATTTTTTATATCCGTGTGTGTGTGTGCGGTATAGGACACAATCGACGCACAGTTCGAAATCCCATATGCCTCTCTCGACACCCCATGAAGAATAAAAAGCGAGGCCGGCGTATATAATGGCGTCGAGACGCGAAAGGGCGAAGCTAACGATATATCTTGCGACTATTGTCTTGTGGTTCGCGACAGTCGCGGCCATTATATCAAGATTAACTCTCTTATTCCCTGCTAAGGTAGAAAGAGAGGGTAACGTAACCAATACACATAATGGCGAAACATCACCCACACTTTTCTTATATTGAAGATCCAACAGTGAGTTGACTGTGTCCCGCAGAAGGCGCACTGAAAACGAGGGTGTATGCTAGGCATCCGCAAAAGAGGACATTATAAGGAGTTATGAGGTCCTGCCTCATACGTGAGCATCCCAATCTCTCTCTCTCTCTCTTTTCTTCGCGATTTTTTTTTCTTCTCTCCCTTTTTTTTCTATACTTATTTCTTCTTTATTTTCCTTTCCTCTCTCTATGGTTCGATTCTTTCTGTGTCGGTTCTTAATGTCCTCTTCCTTTTAATGTCGACTCTGCCCTCGAGGTCGATTCTGAACATTTTTACGCTGCCTCTTTTTCATGGCCGATATTGAGTTATATCCAACGCGCATTTATCGTTCAAAATCCTGTTGTTCGGGAGAGCAGAAAACGAGAAAGCCGCGGAGGGGACTTGCGTTTCTGCGACTATATGTACATGCAAGAATTCCTTCCAAGAGAGTCCAAGAGTCAAAAGGAAGAGAATATATCTGGGATGAAGAGGAGAAAAAAAAATGGGAAAAGAAATTCTAAAGGGCGAAACATGTACGATGATTTGTTGTATGCTTGCTGTAATGCGAAATGATAGCAATAGTATCGATGAACCTTAACCTGCGGGAATATCGAAACAAAATCAAACTTACAAATCATTAGTGTATATATATATTTCTCTGCTCAATGTACTTTTTTTCAATATCTAAACCTCGTGTATTTTAATTTCAATCGCAAACATATTTTTTGTATTAAAATGTATTAAGAGAGAAGAATAGAAATTATCTTGTTACAGAGATAATAATTTTTTATTGTTAACAAAAATATAAGTGACTCGAAAAGAAGTTTCTCTGAAAGAGACAAATAGATAAACAAACTTTTCGAGAGTTATATTAAAAGTTCATGATATTAAAAACCTTGGCGAAATTGTAAAACTTTAAAAATTCTTTGAATGAAAAAGAATAAAGGAAGCCATATATAGCGCGCGCATATATGAAATGAGGATTCGCAAAAAAGTTCCATTCCATCACTCGTATTCATAAAATTATCAAGAAAGTTGCCATAATGGAAAGTAAAGCGCGAGTATGGGAGAAAAAGTTGCATACAATGTTAGCGATGAATATTATTACAAACACACGTGACTGCAAAATTGAAATAAGATTTTTTTTATTTGTAAAAATTTACCATTTTTTAAAAAGTAATATATTTATATGAGAGTAATTAAGGTATAGATGTAATATAGAAAAAAAGTTTTGTTGGCAATTTTTTTTTTAATGATCCACTGTATTTATTATGATTGCAGGTAAAGTTTGCTGCGCTGCATATAATCAAAAAGTTTCCTATGGAGAAGCTATAAGACTTGTGTCTCTGGTGTGTAAATAATAAATGAACGAAAGAGAGTGAAGCAGCTTTGAAAGGAAATCGAAAAAATCAGTATGTTGACCTCTCATGGGATTATTTGGAGGTCAAAGAGCAAGGAATGCGTGGTGAGGTCGTGACCCAGTGAGAGGCCGACCGATGGGTGATGGTACCGCATGGTGGGCTAGATCGACTGAACTGGATATATCCTGGTAAGTTTTACAGCCAGGGTTATAGCCCTCCACCAATACAGTGAAGGAATCTGATGCTTCACGGACAGATCCACCCACACCCCCTTCACCCCCAAGCACAACGTTTTGTGGCCGACTACACACTATATATATCGTTCCTAGTCATTGCAACCCCTCGCCTTTGGAGTTCACCCTCACCTACAAGGTTACAGCACTACTCTCTCTCACTCTCTCTCTCTCTTCGTTTCCCCTGTTCAGATCTACACCGACCTCTCAGCCACGCGCTCACTCGCGTAGTATACTGACGACAACCATGAATGAGACCACGTGTCTCGACTCAACTCGCTGCCGATTTCATGCTCCCGCTTCTTTTTTTTCTTCTTCTTTTTGAATCACGTGGTAGTCTTTCAAATATAAATGAAGGCACATGAGAATCCGATGAAAAATCCATTCACTACTGGACAGGGGAATATGATTCTTTAGACATAGTTTTAAAAGGAAAATTCTTGTAGTTAAAAATTTATAAATCGTTTTTGGTCAGTTGAAAATTTTAAAATTCAAGTTTAGTGCGCTTTTAAAATGATTATAGAAAAATAAATAGAAATAGAAGAAGATCCGTAAAGTCCGTAATTTGATTGAAAAAAAAAACGAAAAGTTCGTAAATTTTACGATATATAATTTGGAGAATTTTAGAGAAATTACAGATGATTGCAGAAATTCAATTATTTTCAAAAATAATAAAATTCTTCGCAGAAATTCAATTACATATTTTAAAAAATAATAGAATTCTTCGCAGAAATTCAATTATGTTCAAAATTTTTTTTAAATTCTCATCAAAATTTCAATTATCTTTAGAAATAATTAAATTCTTCTCCAAAATTCAATTATTTAAAAAAAATTTAATATAATTTTACGCAAACTTTTAATTTTTATTTTCATAAAATAATAAAAACTCCACAGAAATTTCATTATTTACAAATTTTTTTAATAAATTTTTTCGCAATTATTCAATTATTTTTCTAAATAATAAAAATTTTTCGAGGATTCAATTATTTTCGTAAATAATAAAATTCTTTTTAGGAATTCAATTATTTTCATTAATAATAAAACTCATTGCAGAATTTTAATTATTTTTAATACAATTTTAATCGAATTCCTCTTAAAAATTTTATTAAAATTCGTCGAAAGAATTCAGTTATGTATTTAAAAATTTATAGATAAAATTCTGTGTGCGAGAATTCAATTTTAAGAAATTTTAATCATTAAATTGTTATTTTTGTACTTAAATAATTAGAGAGTAAATTTTTAGAAGTAATTGAATTTTGAAAAGGTTTCAGATTAAAATCTTTAAAAATTTGAATTTTTCATATTTTTAACTAACGATTCTGTGGAATTAATTTTTTTTTTGAGAAACTTTAATTGCAGATTTTTTTTGGAATTATTTAAAGATTTTATTTTCTAATATATATATTTAATTGAAGAATTTACGAAAAATTGAAATTTTCTAAAATTGAATTGTAAACAAATGAATTTAAAAATTGTTAAAGACCTTTTTTAAAATATATTAAAAATAATGGATTTATAGAAAATGTTTAGTTAAAAACACGAAAAAAAATTCAATTTTGCAAAAGTTACAAATAATTGCAAAAATTCAATTATTTTCAAGAGTAATAATATTCTTAACAAAAATTAAATATTTATTATTTATTTATTGTATTTAAATAATTGAATTCTAGTAGAATTTTCTAGTGAAAATTGATTTAAAAATTAATTTCAATTAAAATTTTAGATAATATAATTGAACATTAAAAGCAATATAGCGTGAATTTTTAAAAATAATTGAATTTTGATATTAATTTTTTTGAAAAAATTTAATTGAATTTTTTTAATATTATTTTAAGTTTTTATTTTCTAATATTTATTTAATTAAAGAATTTACAAATAAATTTCCTAAAGGAAAAATATTCCCTAAAGTAATATATTTTAATATAAAAATAATAGTTAAATGTTTTGCTGGTAAAAATAGTTTTTAATATTTTTGCAAATGAAAATAATTCCAAATTTTTTTTTATAAAAAAGATAATTTTGAAATAGTGAAATAGATTTTAAAAAATAGTTTCTATACAAATGTAGTTAAAATATATTTTCTACAAATAAATAAAGAGAAAAAACAATTAATTCAATACAGAAAAAAAATTAAGGCAAGAAAAATATTCACAGTGTAATTAAAAAGAATTTCTATTTTTGAATAATTATATTTGTTTTAAACAGAAATATTAAATATTTACATTACATTTACATATTATTTTTATATATTATACTTATAATAATGAAATATTTTTCTTATATATTATATTTCTATGAATTAAATATTTATTTTTAAATATTTTGTTTTAAACAATTTTGAAAATACGCGCGCATTTTGGCGCCACCTGGCGGCAGTCGTACCAACCTTTTCGCATTGCTCGCGTCACTGTCGTATTTCCAATATGGCTGTCGCACGTGGATCATTCTTTTTGTTATTTTTTGCCTTTTTTGGAGCAGTTACGAATTAAATCTGCATTTATAATATAATAATCCGTAAGTTTTATAATTCTTTAATTGATTACATGTGGTTTTCAGTTTGTACACGATTTAATGAAACAGTCACACATTTTTTTACTGTTTTAAAAGTTTGCCTACATCGTCAAAATAATTATCATAAAATGCGTAAATCGAGTATTTATTTTCATAAAAAAGTATTTTATTCATGGCACAAGCAATATTTTTGCATATTTTCAAGAAAAATTAATCAAAATATGTAATTATGTACCCTATGTACGTAACATAACCTTCAAATATTAAGTGTCGTAAATTCGACATTAACAATATAAATTCTATTTAAAAATCTTTTGAAATTTGATACCTTTTGAAAAAATTACTCTATTAATTAATATTTTTTAAAAAATTACTCATTTAAATATGCTTCTCTTTATTTTTAACGAAAAAAAATTATTTTTCAGATAATACTGCCAATAGTAAATACAAACACGGAAAGAGAATCCTCATTAAGTTTTGAGACGTATTTTTTTCAATTTGATAAAGCGTCGTCAAAATATGTCTGGAGTCATTGTGTCGCAGATTTAAAGTTGATAATGCTGGTGTATCTGTCGCTGTCGTAAACATCATAAGAGTGAGTAATTTTTATATCAATTTTATTTGATTTAATTGCCAAATTTATGAGAATATTTTATTGTATTTTTCCGATTAAATTAGAATCGGAAAAAATTAAAATTATTGATTTAAACAACCGTGAAATATATTCGTTTCATTAATTTGGATTTTATAATTAGTGACAATAATAATTTTGAATAATTTCTATTTAAAAAAATAAGTAGAATTACATTTTATAAAAATAAATATGTCCAAAAATATTAAGTAATAATATTTTATTTGAACAAATAATATTAAAGTAATATTAATTTATAGATAATTTTTAAATTGTTTAATTATTCGTTAAAAATATAAACATTTTGTTTTAATAAAATTCAAAATTTCGCGCGCATTTTCGGTTACCGACAGAGAAAGTTGTCGCCATCTAGCGGCAGTTGTACCAATCCTATTGCATAGCCGCCATTTTCCTCATTTCCAATATGGAAGCCTGTGACGTCAGTCATTCCTTTTGATTATCGCTTATTTATTGAAGCATCTGTGAATTAAATCTACATTTTTATTATTACAATTCAAAAATTTTATAACTCTTGAACAGTTTTTGTGTATTTTTCCATTTTTGTACATTTTAAAGAAATAGTTACACATTTTTCTTTCTCGAAAATCTTGTTTACATTGTTGACGCATAATCAGCATAATGTGAGTAAATCCTTTATTTATTTTCATTAAAAAGTGTTTTATTCAAGGCATAAGCAATATTTTTGCATATTTTCAAGAAAAATTAACCTCAATAAGCAAAATATGTCACTATGTACATAACATAACCTACAAATATTAAGTGTGTATTGCGAGTTCGACTTTGTGAATTGAATAATTACATTTGAAAAATTACTTTCATTAGATACGATTTGATTTATTTTTAACAAAAAATATTATTTTTCAGATCATGATAATAATTACTACGCACATGGAAAGAGAAATATCGTAAAATTTGGAACCGAATTATTTTCAATTTGCTAAAGTATCGTCAAAATACGTTTGGAGTCACAGATTTAAGGTAAATAATTCTTTCGTATTTATTGTTGCTGCAAACATCGTAAGAGTGAGTACTTTTTACATCAATTTTATTTGATTTAATTGTCAAATTTTTGGAAAAACCCCATTTATTGAATTTTGACAAAACGAGAAAAATCCCTTTCGCCCTGGAAATATTTTCCCTTGTCCTAATAACAAAGGTCAATTTAATACAATCGAAATAATTTTGTCAAATTGCATTTTTAAATCAGTAATTTATAATTACTGTTCATGTTAAAAATGTGTTTATAAAACTGGAATCGGATATCAATTGAAATTTTCATCAGTTTTTACACAAGCCATGAACTACTATTCAGTTTATCATTTGATTATGATTTCTAATTATTTTAAATATCTTTAATTTGAATTACTTAATTCAATTAATTTGGATTAATTAATTTATGTAAATATTCGGAAATCATTATTTTGAAAAAAATGAAAAAAAGACAAAAAATAGATAGAAATTTAATTAAATAATTTGAAAAATTTGATATGTACAATAAAATTTATTAATAACAAAAATGTGTTAAAAACGTTAAAAAATATCGATATTAAATTAATATTGATAGTATTTCTACTAATAATATTAAAATTATATTTATTAATAATTATTAGATTAAAATTTTTATTTAATTCGTTTATTATTTGATTATGATTTCTAATTATTTTACACATTTTCAATTTCAATTACTATTTTTATAGACTCGAATATTTAAATTTTTCGTTTTTTAATTTCTTTTGTCATTAAAATCACTAAATTAAAAATTTTTTAAAATGATAATTAAATTAATTTTATTATTTATTAAATTAATTAAATTTTTTTAAAAATATTAAATTTATTATCGAACTTAATGAATTATTAATAATAACATATGAATAATTATTCCATTAATAATTATATTATTTAATAATTAATTAATTAATCCAATTTTTATTGAACTAATCACCGTCAATTATTGAAAATATGGAAAAAATCGTAAATAGAAATAATGGAAACAAAAAAATAACAATTAAGAAAAGACAATAATTTTTTGAATAATTCAAATTATTTGATATTTTATTGAAATTTCATTTCGGCATTATTGTTGAAAAATTTTTTATTGAAAGAAAAAAATTGTCGCTTATTATTTTTTGCTGTTTTTTTTACGTTTTTCTTTATATATAAAGAAAAATCGGTTCGTCAACTTGGAACAATAAAAAATGAAATGGCAAAAAATTTGTTAAAGGGTGCGACTCTCAAAAAGTTGTGTAATTCACATCTGCGAATAAATTTGTCAAAATGTTATATACTGTTTTCCATCGTAGAATTTTTGAGTATTAGGGAGTTTTGTGTGCGAGAAAAAGTATAAAAAGTTTTATTGCACATGGAACCTTTGCAAACAGCGCTTTTACACTACTTTTCTATTCTTTTCGTTCTTGCTTCTGCTTTTTTTCAAAAAAAAAAAAAAGTAACCTTTCTCACATTTTAAGTTACTGAGAAAAAAAGAAAAAAAAATGAACAAAATATTAAAAGGGTATTTTAAGTAATTATATTGTTTTCTTCTTTTGATGAATTATTTAAAGTTTCTCCCGTTTTCAAAAAATGAATAAGAAATTAATTTCTTTAGAAAAAAATCGAAATTGGCGATCGATTCTCTTTTTTTCTATACCTAATGCTGAATTATTTAAGACACTCTCGAGACATTGATTTTAGTTTGAAAACCGAAACCGAATTTGATGCGGCGAGTATATATATATAGAATATAAGTAGTTCAAAGGTTTATTCCCTATTGGAATTTTCAATCCCTCGAGCTAAATTCGTACATGAAATGCTAAAAGTTTCACGGTCCAGTGGAATGAATGGCCCAGGGAATTTTATATACAATTGAAGGGCAACCTCCAAATAATAATAACAATAGAAAAGTAGGTACCTGTCCAACGATACTCTTCCTGTTTGTTTCGCTTTTCCTCCCTTAGTCCACTCTCTTTCTCATCTCTTCTTATTCTCCTCTTTTTTTTCTTCTTTTTTTTTATTCTTATTATTTGAATTGTCCAAACGCGAAAAAGCAACGGCCCTCAATGGTACAGGTAGCTAACCAAATATAAGAATCACACGAGGGGGAAATCGGACGTTAATGGTATATATTGGCCAAAGGACAGTTTTTAGAGCAGCTTATATGTATAGCTCCTGTAAAATAGGAAGACAATAGAGACTGGGAACATTTTCACACGCCCTGGCACTCTCTCTCTCTCTCTCTCTCTCTCCTTCTCTTTCTCGCGAGAGTTAAATAGGGGTGGTCACCCCTTAGGACACGGACCGGTCATATCACCTGGCTCAAGAAACATATGAACGTTTGCTGAATAAATTAATCTCAAACGCATCCTAAACAGCCACCCTCTTATCCCCAAAAAAAGGTCCTCTCTCGTTGCGCGCATCATGACCAAAATGAAAATCGCAGCTGCACATTAGGGGATTTTTCGAAAATGAATAGCGAGATTCGTTAATTAATACTGTACTTTGCCTTGTGTCCAGGGTTGCGATGAATTGAATCATTATTTAATTCGGAGAGTCATTGGCATTGTTATATAATAAAACGTAAACGGCTTTTTGAATTTAGGATTTTAAAAATCAATATTTATTTATCAGTTAATTAATTTATTTATATAATTTATTTTTTTACTTAATTAATTTATTATTTTAATGATTAATTTTTACTTAGGGAAAATTTTTATTTAAGCCAAATATAATTTATTTGAGTTGAATAAAATTATATTTGTCGCAGAGCTAACTAAATTATTTTTTTTTTAATAACAATTTTATTCAACACAAATAAAATTTATTTGAAACAAATAAAAAGTCTAATTGGTTCCTGAGTGAAATGTATCTTTTTTCTAGGTGTGTAATTAAATTTACTTCATTCAATTTATAATTAACTGTCTTAATTAAATTTATAATTTTAGTAATTAGATCATTTAATTTAATTTAATACAATTTAAATTATTAATTTATAGTAAATTTACATCATTTATGATTTTAATGATTAATCTATAATTAATTTATTTAAGTTAATTTATAATTATGTAACTTAAATTAATTTATGCTTTTCTTTATTAATTTATAATTAATTTACTTGATTTAATTTATACTTTCTCTTAAAATTTGCAAATTATTGGCTGCCTTTTTTTGAATTTGTAAATTTTACAAATAAATAAGTTTTGTTAAATAAACAAAAAAATTATTAAATTATTCTCTAAACTAGCCAAACTATCCGCGCGCAAGCGCGCGGGAATGTTGTATGGGGCTGCTTATTTTAAACAATTTAAAAAATTTTAAAGAAATAATTATTATAACCTAACAAAGAGATTTAACTAACTAAAACAAAGAGTCGAGACAATTTAATAAGTAAAGTATTTTCCAAAAGCACAAAAATAATGAAGCTAAATCCCATAAAAGAGAAGAAAAAATGTTGAATTTTAAAAAAAACGGATTTTTGAATTTTTTCGAATTTTTGATAATTTTAGATTTTTTACCAAAGAGTCGAGACTATTAAATAAGTAAAGTATTTTCCAAAAGCACAAAAATAATGAAGCTAAATCCCATAAAAGAGAGGAAAAAATGTTCAATTTTAAGAAAAACGGTTTTTTGAAATTTTTCGAATTTTTGATAATTTTAGATTTTTTAGCAAAGAGTCGAGACAATTTAATAAGTAAAGTATTTTCCAAAAGCACAAAAATAATGAAGCTAAATCCCATAAAAGAGAGGAAAAAATGTTGAATTTTAAGAAAAACGGATTTTTGAAATTTTTCGAATTTTTGATAATTTTAGATTTTTTACCAAAGAGTCGAGACTATTAAATAAGTAAAGTATTTTCCAAAAGCACAAAAATAATGAAGCTAAATCCCATAAAAGAGAGGAAAAAATGTTGAATTTTAAGAGAATCGGATTTTTGAATTTTTTCGAATTTTTGATAATTTTAGATTTTTTACCAAAGAGTCGAGACAATTTAATAAGTAAAGTATTTTCCACATTAAAAAAATATATAAAAAATGCCAATACTTAACCCACAAAATTTAATTTTTAAAAACAAACAAATGAATGCAGATAATTTGCTAACGGAAAGGAAACTTACGATTATTATAATGTATATTTGAATTAGTAAACATTTTTACTAATTTAAATTAATGACTAACTTTTTGCTTTAGAATTAGTAAATTTGACTAATACTTAGTCATTTCTACTAATTTAGTAGTTAAATTTACTAATTCAAAAGAAAATTGTTAGTTATTAATTAAAAAAAAAAAATTTTTGATAATTCAAATTTAGAGAGTTAATTTATTAATTTTTTCGTTTAATTAACAAAATTTTTATTTAATTTTTTATTTGGAAATTAAAGTTAACTAAACTTAAATTAAATCGATAATTAAAATTTTAAATTAAATAAAGTAAATTAATTTAATACATAATTAAAATTACAAATTAATTAAGTGAATTAATTACAAATTAAGCATTAAAATTATAAATTGAGTAGTAAATTACTTATTAAAATTATCAATTAAATTAATCAAATAAATTATAAATTAGTAATTATAATTATAAATTAAATTAATTAGGTAAATTAAACATAAATTCTAATTTGTAGAAACTTTTAAGGAATTCAGTATAAAGTTTTATTTAAAACTATATAGTTAAAATATTTTTCATTGAATTATTTTTTTGAAACTAAAAGCGAATTTCAATAAAATTTAGAACAATTTAATAATTATTGAAATATTTTTTTACTTTTTAAGAAAATTATGAAATTTTGTTGCTATTTAAAACATTTTCCTTAAATTAAAAAATATTTTTATAGAATTTTTAAAATTGGTGCATTGAAATACAATGAGGGAAAGATATTAGAATTGTCCTAAAAAATTGTTTATGGTTAAATTTAATATTTTTAATTATTATGAAATTTCTGATTTTAAAAAACAAATTAGTTAAGTAGTTATGAATATTGGAAAAAA